AACAATTATATTCAATTATCTGGGGATACATAACCGCGCGAAAACCCTATACTTATCAATACTATGAGTCAGTGAGAAAATTACATAAAAATAAGTTGGTAAAAAAATTTCCCGACTGAAAACATGTTCTTACATGCTATTAATTTATTTTATGATTAAACATATTATTTATTTTTTTACATATTATTCTTTATTTATGACGTGTAAAAAAATCAATTTGACAATAATTTTTAAATTTATATTTATTTTAAAMTASCATAATATTATGTTATGTAATGGTGAATAATATATTGTACTAAAAATAAAAATTTTAAAAGTAGATTGAATATTCATGAGCATGTTTATCCGTCTTAATTATTTATCACTACTTTTTTCTCAGTTTCAAATAAACTTCCATTAATAGCAATATTCATATWATGTTTCTCTTAGGTTTAGGTTTTAATTATTTTTATTAACTGTGATGRCCACACTACAATACTCACTTAGCACTTCATTCCGAGAATTTTCAGCAGATTATTCATATTTTAATTACAAAAATAAACATTATTTCATGTTGGATAGTAAATTTAACCATATGTATTAACATGGTTTTAGCAGACCACCTATTTCCTTTACTTTTAATCCGGTCCTGATTTAAGGCGTTAATATACTATCACAATAAATATAATATATATGATATTATTTTTCTATTTATGACAATTATCCATACAAGGTCGGACCACTGTATCTTGGGCTTAATTTTCAGATGTTGTAATGAGCGTGGAGCTTCGGGTAAGAAAAAACTTATGACAGTTGATCAGTTTGTCGATTTCTTGAATCGCACTCAAAGAGATCCTCGTTTAAATGAAATACTCCATCCATATGCCAATTCAGATAGAGCAAAAGATCTAATTCGTGAATTTGAACCTAACAAGCAAAGCGCTCAACGAGGCTTGTTGAGTTTTGACGGCTTTCTCAAGTATCTGATGAGTGCCGATAACCCTATAGTGTCTTCTACTACTTTGGAATTAAATAACGACATGGATCAGCCGCTATCGCATTATTTCATCAATTCGTCACATAACACTTACTTGACTGGTAACAATTATGCACGAAATGAAATTATTTATAGTTTTCTAAAATTAGTTTTCAACTAGGTCACCAGTTGACTGGTAAGTCGTCCGTGGAAATTTACAGACAGTGCCTACTGTCTGGATGTCGATGTGTCGAATTAGATTTGTGGAATGGAAAGACAAATGAACCGGTGATCCTGCACGGATACACGTTTGTACCTGAAGTGTCGGCTCGAGAAGTAATAGAAGCAATTGCCGAGTCGGCTTTCAAATCTTCCGATTACCCAGTAATATTATCATTTGAAAACCACTGCAACACTAAACAACAAGCAAAAATTGCCCAATACTGTCATGATTATTTCGGCGACATGTTGTTGTATGAACCGTTGAACAGCCATAAAGTAATAATTAAAACACAATAATTTTCCATTGTTTTCATTCCGCGCGTTTAATTATCCCTAACCTTATTATACGTATACGTTATTATAGCTTGAGCCCGGCGTATCATTACCACCTCCTTCAATGTTGAAAAACAAAATAATTATAAAAAATAAGAAAAAACATCACCATCATCATAAAAAGCCTACCACTAGTGTAGTGTTGGAGCCTGCTACAGCTGCCACTTTGGTGTTAGGCAATGGAGATTTACCTCGAGGACCAATTCGACAATCCAGCAAGGACAGTAATCAAGACGAAGATGAAGGTAAAAACAGTAATTATTATATAATTTTATTAATCAACAACTTAATATTATATTTAAATGCAAAAAATATTGTTGGTAATGACTAATGACGTTAAAAAATCAAATATTTTTTTTTTATTAGTAGTTGGTTATTAAGTCTCGGACTAAAAGTGTTCAAGGTAGTTGAATTTAAGTAATTTAAAGTTAYTATTTTAAAATTGTTAATATTCTGTGACTTTATTAATAAAGATTTTTGCTACAACTTATACACGAAATCAAATAATTTTTTTAAAAATTTATTTAAGTAAAATATTTAATTTAACATATCGGGTTTGGTATGTTAACTCTACATTCYTACATTTAACGCACGCAATTATTTATCAGTGCTAGACACACGCGATAAATTTTACCAGATATTTTTGTTAATTATTACTTTAAACAAATATTTGTTTTATACCAAATTGTTGTATAATTATTGTATTAAAATGTTTAAAAGTGTATATATTATAATACTAAAATAATATTTTTGTTAAAAAGTAGGAAAAAAATCMGTGAGACAATAAGACATAAATATAGGTACATACCGGCGTGTTTATATAACATTTTAATATAAATTAGGAAAAATTATTTCGCCTATTYTGTTTTTTTATTTCAAATTTCAAATATAACTTATAAATATTAAACTATGAAAAACTATTAAAAGACGTAAAGTTTACGCATAATGAATGTTGTTAATACAATTATTGTAGATGATGATGACAGCAGTAGTGATACCGATGGAGAAGAAGAAGACGTAGATAGAACTGTTGATTTAAAACATGTTTTACAAGGTAAGCCTTTGGTCGATAAGGTATCCAACACCAAAGAGACTGAAGCTGGTACGGAAATTTCAGTTCTCGTCAATTATTGCCAATCAGTGCAATTCACCTCTTTTGAAAACGCAGAAAGTGAGTCTTATAAGAAGTTAAATACTTTACAACTACCTATACCGACTTTATATTTTATATATTTTAATTTTAAATGATAATATCTCAATCACACGTGTTGTCTCGGTGTTACAAACACGCGATATACAAAATKTGAGTTCAGCAGTTCTATAATTTAGTTTCTTTAGTTTTACTTTCAACAGTATAGAGTTACCTAATATCATTGATTATAAATACTAGTATTTWAATAGTAATCAATGCTATTATTAACATTAAAGGAAATAACATTTTATACGGTTTGTTGTTAGTTCTTATATCGTAATATAATATATTACGTAATATAACGGGCTCTGAACATTTTTAAATTGTTGAATAACTTATAAATCTTTTCTGTAAGATTRTACATCTAATTCTCACGTTTATGGTTTCGGAATTTCGGATAAATAAATAATATCTTAAAATAAATTTGAGAGTTGAATGCATGTCCATAGTTTATATAGGTGCTCAAAAACTACTTAYCCGATTGTGAAAATTCCAAATTGTATTTAGAAGTATAAAGAAACTTTAAAGAATAGTGTTTGAACCACATTTTGTCTATATAAGTGTTATATCTTATCCAATCAAAYACAGGTGAATTATTCGTATCAGTCAAATTAGTTCATAAAGCGAGATACACTGACCCAATGTTAGCTGTTAACTGAGGTGCACAAAAACCAAGATATATTATGCCTAAATATGTAAATATATATATAGTGCCAATTTTTTTTTATTATCTCACGGGCTTCACAGACAGTGGTTTATGCAAAATGTTTGTGTTTATCTTAATGGTTATCATTACAGGTCTATTACTATTAAAATTGGAATATGGCATAATATACTTTTGTTTACAAAATATTTATTAAAAATACAAATTTTTGGCCCGGGCGCAACGTCGCCACGTCGGACAGGACAGCTAGTTGTATTTATAATATTCATAGTTATTATAATTATTTTTATATCGTTATCATACTGTGTTTTAAGAAAAAAACCGCCACTACGAGATGTCATCGTTTGACGAGAAACAAGCAATGACGTTACTGAAAGAACGACCAATGGAGTTTGTCAAGTATAACAAAAATCAATTGAGCCGAGTGTATCCGGCCGGGACACGTTTCGACTCGTCCAACTTTATGCCACAAGTGTTTTGGAACGCAGGATGTCAGCTAGTCGCTTTGAATTATCAAACCATGGACGTGGCGATGCAGCTAAATTTAGGGATATTCGAGTATAACATGCGCAGCGGTTATTTGTTGAAACCGGAGTTTATGAGGCGTGCCGACCGTACGTTTGACCCGTTTGCCGAATCTACTGTGGACGGAATCATTGCTGGTACACTGACCGTCGACGTAATATCCGGTCAATTGCTTACCGACAAGCGCGTCGGTACTTATGTAGACATCGAGATGTATGGTTTGCCGGCGGACACGGTCAGGAAAAAATTTCGTACTCGGACTGTACCGTACAACGGCATTAACCCGGTGTACGGTGACGAACCATTTGTGTTCAAAAAAGTACGTTTCTGTTTTGAACTGTTCATAATGATAATAACGTATACATTTATCTTATTGTAATATGCTGTATGGCATATTCSTGTATATGTATAATATATAAAAATTGTTTAAGTAAACACAAAAAAATAAAACATTGAAATCATGGTTAGAAATTTTTGTGTTTCAGGTGGTCCTCCCTCAACTYGCATCTTTGCGTCTAGCTGTTTTCGAGGAGTCCGGAAAGTTGATCGGGCATCGTGTCATTCCAGTAGTTGGCCTCTGCCCGGGATATAGACACGTCGTATTACGTAACGAAATGGGTCAGCCCCTGCCTTGTGGGACTTTGTTCTTAAAAATCACCGTAAAAGACTATATTCCGGATGATTTATCGGATTTTGCCGAGGCTCTAGCTAATCCCATAAAATTCCAATCCGATCTAGATAAACGCACCAAGCAATTAGCTGTCTTCGCGGACGAACTGGACCAATCCGTCGACGAAGTAAGCTCGATTGACAGTTGATGTCTTCTCATAATATCTTTTATATATAGTGTAATAATCCCATCATAATCTAATCTGTACACGTCATTAATCAAGGCGAGTGTCATACCGGCAGAACGAGACGTAAAACCAGTCACTCGTCATCAGACCAGCTGCCCAGATTTGCCCACCGGCCACCACATGACCGTTACGATGTCAGCACCGCACCGAAAATCCGTGACTACTAACCCCGTGTCGACGATGGACTATTCGGTCAATGATGACTTCAGTAAGGGTCCGAAAGGCTCTCAAAGGAATCTTCCGGCATTATTGTCTACTTCCCGTAAGTTAGATTCAAGTTTTCATTCGAACGTTATTATAATATGGCATATCGAATCAAACATCATAATACTATATAGAGAATAGAGATAACACTATTAATAAACACACGACCGTCAATCATATATATATATATATATATATATATATAATATATATATGATGGGTAAAAGTATGAATATCGGTGAAACCAATAGGTTTTATAGTTAAGTTCAAATACTTAGGTCGAACTCCACATGATATTTGTAATTTGTAGTTTAATTAACAAGATTTGGTAAATCTTGGGATAAACAACAATATACTGTTTTTGTGTCCGTGCCGGTATTATATTTTGTACGTCCTTTATTTCTACATACCTATTCAGTTTCTCCAGGTACTTTTACATCTAAGTAATAGCTATTATACATTAGGCAGCCAATGGCCTCCGCAGCCGAGGCTTATTTCTAATAAAAAAAATATACATTAGGTATCAGGCATCTAATCTACTTAAACAATAATTATTTTTATTTTTAAGTTAACCGTAATGTTATAATTCTATACGAGTATAAATCAAGAGGAAAAATATCACACAATAAATGGTAAATAATGTTGTGCTTACGCCAACACTAGAATTATTAATTATTTTAAGATTMAATTTACCAAATCCSGTTTGTAAAAGTCCGAACTACAAGAACCATTCGAGATTTGCCCAAACTGTTTTGTACATCCAAGGTTTTACGGAAATCAATCAATCGAAACCAATAGCAGTAAAAAAATAGTATCTTGGCTCATATCAAAGGTTTCACTAATATTTGTACTTTTACTGTAACACATGTATAATATCTAAAACTATATGCATTCTATAATATTCTTTGTTTTTGCGTGTACAGTGAGCGAAGGTGTAGTTGCCGAATCTCTTTCAAAGCTTAGTGAAAACAAGCTGGTGAAGGATAAGAAAATGGAGCTCGAGAAAAAGCTAGAAATGCTTCGGAGGAAACACGAAAAAGAAAGACACCGAGTGCAGCACCTGAAATCCTCGCACGATTTGGAACGGATACGAATGACCAAGTTCTCGATGAGTTCCCGATTCGTCAAGCGGCTATCGATAAAAAATATGTAATAATTATTTTTATTTTGTCTTAACCATATTATATTATGATGTAAATATATATATATAAAATTAAAAAAAAACCGAACWTTTTACCGTATTCGTTTCATGTCCGTCAGTCAGGAGAGTATTTTGCAAAGCAACCAAGAAGCCTCGGAATCTTCGGAATGCGATACGGACAATTCCACCAGTTCGATGCCGAGGATGTCTAGAAGCCAGTCCGAACGGTTGTTGGCCATAGGCAAAGAGCACGTAGTACAGGAACGRGACCTCCGTGAAAAATATCACGAGATCGTGTTTTCGTCGTTGGAGAAAGTGATGCGTTCGTCACAATTGAACCAGATGAAAATGTTGCGCGTGCTGTTGGATAAAGAAACCGCGGAAGTGATGAAAAAGTTGCAGGACCGCCGGCGACATGAAATGAAATCGTTGGCAAAAATACACAAGGACAAAGACGAGATTGGAAGGTATGGTAGTATTATATATTTATAATATACATCATGTGTTTTTAGTGAATGTATACACGAAATCTGAGACATATATCATCCTAATATGAAGTTAGAAGGACCTATATATATGCAATTATTATYATTTTCGAACAATAATAATTATTGACAGTATTTGATAGTTGGTTAATGTCAAAAAAATTGTATGCGTTACCTAAAAATATAAACTTTAGTATGATATTAAGTTTTTTATATTATTCGATGAATAGGATCAAGCGAGAAGTATCCAGTTCAATGGTAGAAAAGGGTGTGAATGAACGGGTGCGCTTGGCTCAGATCTATGAGAAGAAGACTGAGGAGCTAGAAAAACAACACGAAGAAATCAGACAAAATTTTAATGATCTCAAGAAAAAAGTAAGTTAAGTTGGTAGTGTTGGTACATCATTTTATTCTTCTCGAGTAAAAGATTTCAAGTCTGATTATTTCTGAAAAAACACAATATGACATAAAAAAAAATGTTTTTTACATATTTTTTAGATAGTTAACAATAACTTTCTATGTACACCGTTTTTTTWAATTTATTTTTTCCCATATTATATATTTTTCTAAATCTTATTTGAATTTTTTTTTTATGTATATAAAATTACCATAGTTGAACTTTTTACCCGAACACCGCAGAATTGTAGTTTAATTTATGTATAATAAGTTGTGTGCATGATGGTTTACTAATCGTATATTATGTTATTGGGTTTTTTCAGGCAAAAGCGGAATTGATCAAAGARTTTGAGGCCAAACTACAAAATGTTGAATTCGGGGTTGGGCCGAGCATTAAGACCGAGTTCAAACAATGATACGATTTTAAATTCGTATAACTAGCTACGTAGTTAGGTACTAGCCACTAATAACACCTAGTTAATACAAAAAAGAAAAATTATTCTAATCAGAGGCAATAAATAATATTATAATATAATATGTGATGCATTTGAAGAGTAAGGTTATAGACACTTGCGCTGATTTCAATGTCGATCCTTAAAGACTGACCGATCGATTTAACTCGTTTTTTTAGTTTAATTTGATTAATTTTGCCATTTATTATAATTATTTTTAATTTTAACTATTTGTATTCTCTCGTTCTGTACAAGTCTTGTGAATTAAATTACAACGACCGGTGGTAGTGTATTATTGTTATGTTGTAATATATTGGTTGTATTTATTTATTATTATTATTACTTTTTTTTTTGTTATTGAAGGCGAACAAACCTTTTTTTATTGTGATATCTATATTTATATTTTTGTTAAAAGTTTGTGATAATTTTGTTCTATACACAGCCTCACATCGTATACTATATTACCAACATTCATTGACAATCATTATTTTTTCAGTTACATTTTTTAAAATTATTTTTATTGAATACCTATTATTTAACTATTGATTTGATTAGATTTATCCTATCTATCTTTATTGTTTGTGTACCTATAATATGGCTTTATATTATAGTGTACTTATTTTGTTATTACTGTCTGACGCATATAGTTTACAATAATGCAAAACATTAATTAMACTACTTTATTATTATACTCACGTCGAATTTTTCATTATATTATTACTTAGATATTTGTACTGTGTACCTATACGTTTTATTAAATTATTGTTGTTAAATATATATAATTATATAGGTTGATACCAGATAGATTTCAATAATTAATCTAAAACATCAGTCTAGTCTGATTTGTTTTAATCTCGTACACAATTTTATTTTGTTATTTTAAATTATTTTAAACTGTACTCACTGGCGTTTATATACACCATTGTTTGTTTTCAGAAATAAAAACTTAGATCCTGTTTTGTTTGACTGTGTAGTCAGATATTAACGTATTGCTTTGTATTACACATCACGTGATATACAAACTAATAATATAATAAAGACAATTCAAACTCGCTAACGTTTAGTTTTGTGCATTTACTCCAATGCCTGTATACCTACCTACTTATGTGTTGGTTTTATTTTTAATGGGAAAAATATTTTTAGGAAATGGTTTTTCGATTTATGTGTACAAAATCACTCATATAATTGTTATAAGTAAATGAGTACAAATAAATATTATTGTTAACATGTGATAGAAAAAATGTTAAAGTATCTACTTACATTATACTTCTCATCCCATATGCTCACTGAGCATTAAACATTTTAATAACAATCAGCTTATAATTTTATATTCATGCATCGATATTTTAATCTTGATATAGGCAAAAATGAGTGAGTGAGATACTGCGGAGATATAATTATCATTGTCATGCAATACTTGTAAAAATTGCTGTTGAAGACATATTGCCTCTAATCCATTAACATCACACTTGTATCAATATATCTTGTGATTCAAATTAGACAAGAATTTTACTTATAAATGTGAAAAAAAATCAATATACTTTAAAAAAAAATGTTATACAAATATCACATATTTTTACACAGCTTAGTACATAAAGTGTAATAAACCATTCTGAATACTATAATTTATAGGTATCTCAATTCTCAGTTATTATTCTCTTGACAAACAAAACAAATATTGATAAGCAGTACATGTACAATGTACTGTATATTTAATACAAAGTATATCATGCTACATTTATTAATGTATTAGGCTTTGATTTAATAATATTACTTGCTAAAGTGTACCATCACTCCACCTTAAGTACCACTATTTCCATATCTTAAATTTGATGACTACAGTTAGAGGATATTAATTTACCAAAAAACAATTTAATTAGATACTTTGATCCATATTAAAACTATTATGTTCAAGTCATCTAAGAAAACAATGTAATTATATGGTAAATTACAATATTAATATATAGTAAGTAACAAATGTAATTTAAAACCAAAAGTMATTTTACTTTACAGCTCTAAATTCCCTTCATTACTGAAATAAAATGTAATGTGATACRTATTAAAATAATTGTGTTTATAATAGTAATTACAATAACGGTGTTTGAGCAATTAATCAATTAATGTTTATAAATGTGCACACCTATTTTAGTGTAAAATTAGCACACTTCCTTAAAATAGAGTTAGTACTTTAGTTGACCTGGAATCCAAAACRTCCATTATAATTAACTAGTGAATTGACTATCAACATTGATATCGCTTCTTCCCGTATGTTTCGTAAGATGATAGTTATTCACTAAATATTGACCCAATTTTTATCAATTGGATAGTTTATTGGGGAGCCCTAAACTTCAATTTCATTTCATAAATTTTTTTAAAGTTTAAAATTGTAAATGTAAATGTAAAACCAACATTTTATCATACATTATTAATATATAAAAAAAACGAGATGTTTTGAAAACTATCATATCATGAAAACGTTAGTATAATTGTTTAATGAAAAAGTCAAATCTCTTTTAAGAAACTACATTTAAAATTTAAAATTTAAGGATTTCTACAATTCCGAGAGGAGAGATAGATAAACATAATATTATAAAGCCTCCCCCCTTGGGCCGTGTAAAAACATGAGAGCGATAGGAATAAATAAATGGTATATGTATGTAAATTGTAAGTATGTATATGCAAAATATTTTAGCTTCCACCCTCTTGTGGATTCTTCAGAACCACCTTTGACATCGGTTATTGAGTGGGTTATCGTAATAAATGTGTTCAATAATATAAAACCATTTTATACAAAAAACGATTTTGTGCTAAGATGACCTGTCAGTCTATAACCTATATGAACAATAGTATATTTTATGATATTATTCCTCAAACAGTTATTTATTTTGCTACATATTAATAATAATATACTGAACTTTACATGTATCGTTCATAAATTAATTTTAAAAAAAAAAGGTACCTACCTATACCATAATATTTTTTTTTCAAAATGTTTTTTTATTTAGTAATTAGGTGGATAGTAGCTTAAATTCAAWGTTTATCATAATAAAATGAAATCATTTATCGTGTCTGATTATGTATATGTGTTAAATTATATAATGTATATTCATATACATATTTTTTTTTATTAAGATAACCCTCAACATTGYGATCATTGGGAAAAACATGATTTTTTTTAATGAGTATAATATTCAATTATTGCATAATAATAAAAGAGTTATATAGCAGCAAATGTATAAAGGTATAATAAGCTTGAACTATAGACAGTATTATTCTGATRTTTAGATTAGTTTATCTAATAATGAATATTATGTTTGATATTGGCCGAACCGGTCCTATAGTTTGTTCTTTAATATGCCATCGAATAGTTGATTGCTGTTTCTTGCTTCGATGAGGTATGCGCAATGCATATTCGGTAAGAATATATATTTTATTGTGAGTTTGAACCCGCAAGTCAGACAAGAGGAGCAGGGGCGTCATTTCAGGTTTTTTTTCGGGTGTGCGAAGTTTCAAGCAGGCCATTTTGAAATATCACCAGGCCATATAAAAATAGATATACCTACATACGTATATGTATATTATCCTGCATTCAATTATTTCCATAGACCGGTTATTACTATTTGATTTTAATCATATAAATAATTGTGCATTCGTGGCTCGTGCATTATTTTAGGCTTCAGCAAGGCGCAGGCCAATTGTAACATTCTAAAAGTAAGGGGTGCAAYCGCACACCCTGCCACCCCCCAAATGACGCCCCTGAAGAGGAGGCTCTCTTGGGGCATTAGCTGGTAACCATGGGTTATGCTGTTTTCACCTATTTGTAATCTATTGACGATATAGTTTCCTTTTTTGTATCGCAGAATTATTGTTAGGCCAGCACAARAATAGTCATTTTTATTTTATCAAGTTTTGTTTTTTGTTTKGCGCACGTATATTGTCAAGTTGTTGCATTTGTATAAGTTTCATTTTTCTCATGGTATCTTGAAATKAGTTGATCGAAGTAATTTCTAAAGAAGTTTTGGTTCATGGCGTGCATATCGGCTCTTTCATTGCCTTCGATCGATGAATGAGCTGATACCCACATCACATTTTTATTGCCACGACTCTTTTGGAAAGATGAGCGGAGATGTCAAGGTAGATCATTTTCGGGTAAAATACATTTCTATTGAAATATATTCGGATTTTATAATTATCGTATATATATTTCCCCATAAAATAATTTCAGCTGAAATATTTTCGGATATAGTATATAGCCCCCTTTTTTTGTAATGTCATTAGGCTTATGTGTGTTTGCTATGCTAGAAATTGTACTTGGGCGACCACTTAAAATAGTAAAATTGTGTTTTTGTTTTTCAAATAAATATKCAGGGGGGTTTTAAAGTAGTAGTTGCTTCAGTTGTGTCTTGTGTGTATGGAACATTCCATTGATAGTTTATATATTATTAATTCATCTTAATATATAATATAATAGCAACTCCCACTTGATTTTCCGATTTTGATGCGTCGGTGTGGATTTTTTGTTTTGTTTGAAATGTTTGAATATTGCTACAATAACGTGTACCTACTTTAAGTTTTGAGCAGTGTATAATAMGTATATAATGTATTTCTGTATGGTTTATAAGTTGATAAGGTACATTATTTGATTAGTTTAACTCAGTATTTCGAATAGTTTAATTGTAATTTATTGTATGATAAAATTATGATTCTTAATTTTGTCAAATTTAAAAAAAAACAATCAATAATATTGATATATTATTATTTATTTTATTATTGATGTATTATTATTTTTAAATTCTGATCGTATACATTCACGTAGGTTTTTTTTATATTATTTTGGAACTTAAATTTACATTTTTGACTTTCAAGTTAAAATCAATATATTTATTGCCACGAAAATCTGCTAACTAAGTGACGTAGATTTGTGTATTTTTATTACTAAAAGCAGAAAGTATAATATGTGATCCTGACAAATCCTAACGCCGTATTCGTTTCTCCACACCAAAGTTGATATGTACCTATTTTGCCTATAGCATACGCCGGGTTACATTCAAAGTATGTGTTTAATACAATAATATACTAATATGAATATTCATAATATTATATGTACATTGTACATCTTATATTTATCAGTATTTGAAGCAATTTTKAGTAGTTTATCTACTAGATAACATTGGTATTTGTTTTATTTAAGATATTAAGTAAAGTCAGAAACATTGTTAWAAAGGTTTTTCATACAACTGTTTTTAGGTTATAATATTTTGTTCTGAATAAATATTACTTTAATGTGAGTTACTTTATTTTAAAACATTGTTATAAAGGTTTTTCATACAACTGTTTTTAGGTTATAATATTTTGTTCTGAATAAATATTACTTTAATGTGAGTTGATCTAAATCATTATAAACTTTTCAATGTTTTAAAATAAAGTTATCTAATTATGTGTAATTAATTTTGTAAGCCAAATAATATTCAACAATTTATTGACAAGGCGTCATATAATACAGTATACTAAATATTTCGCTATATTTCGGATAGTAATGATGATATAAACACTTCAATATAAATTGGTAGTTGATTCTATCAATACAATATCATGATTGCCTTTCAGACGTCTGTTAAAGTTCCAACTTATACATTACAATTTAATAACTTAAATAGTATATTAATTGTACAATGTTGATACCTAATCTCTGTGAGCAGTGCTTGTGGCGAGATTAGTGAGTCTTTTATAGAATTTTCCATCTGACTGCACTAGTGTACACTATATGCGAACACTGATACCATAATCAAGCAGTATCGTATAATATTTTCCACACCGCCAAAATTYACGGTGTCGCCCGTTGTACACCAGTGTGCACTAGTGCAGTCAGATTTGGTCAGATTGAAAACGCCATTAAATAATATCAATAAGTTGAAGTTAACAACATGATAATAATAAATTCCAAAAAAATTTTTTTTTGTTTAGTAAAATTTACATTGATAGAACAACGATTTAGACATGAAAACTATGTGACCGATTAAAAATATTTAGATATAGGACCATATGCGTAATTTGGGTTAGGTTTATGAGGGTTCTAGATTTAAGTTGACCAAAGTGATAAATTTATCTCCTAATGCCTATGACATAAAATCATAAATTATAAGTTCATAATCAATAAAAATTTGAGGGTGCTATGCACCCCCCCCCAAATTGCGCCTATGTATAGGACTACTAATGAAATAGACTTGCATACCATTTTTTAATTTCTAGCTCAAATGTTTGGTTATAATTTGGTAATTCATTAAAGAGTTTTATTGTCCTGTACATATAAAACATTTTTATCGTAGCCGTGTTAGGTTTAAATGATATTAGATTACCGTTATTCATTTTATTACGAGTAACAATGGTRCTATTATTATTTTTATTGTGTGGTAGGTATCTACCAATTGATTTTTCATCATGTAGATTTTAGTTGTTGATATAGGTTATTAAATAACTGTTCTATATTTAATATAGTATAGGACCCAAAACTGTTCCTTGTGGAATACCATATTCTAAAATATTTGGTTCGCTTGATGTCTCATTGATTTTTACTAGAGATCTGTTAAATAGATAAAACTTAAACCAATTTAAAAATATATCTTTTCCTATTATTTGTTCTAGTTTATATAATAATAATTTATGAAATTTAGAATCAAAGGTTTTTGGTACTTTTGAAGGGGGTGTTTTTCTGAGGAGAGCGCTCATCTATCACTTACATTTTTATTGTTTATAACTGATTGCAAATAAAAACTTATTTTAAATAACAAATGTAATGTACAGAATTATATTTATAGACACTTAAATAACATCTAAAT